CCATCACCACGCAACGCCACTGTCATTCACCATTAACCACACACTGCCATAAAATAAACACAAATCCCGTAGCACCCCTCTCTATACACGTAGATTTGGATCTGACCGCGACCGGAGTTGTAGCATCTCCAGATCAGAGTTTCTTGCAGTATCTGCCACGCCATGGCCACAGACATCATCTCGATTTGTGATGCCACTGCGCCGGAGAGTCTCTTCCAGAGGGGCGTCGCTGACATGGGAGAAGAAATTGGGCAAGGCGGCGGGTTTGGTCGACGGGTAGAGAGAAAGATGAAATGTGAGAATATATATAGAGAGAGAGAGAGAGAGAGAGAGAGATAATGGGAATAGAAATAGAAATGAATTAGGGTTTAATTTAAATTATTTAAATATGAATTATTAATTATTAATTAAAACTTGATTTTTGTATAATTAAACTTGATTCATGATTTATGAAAATGGAAATTTAAAACCCATTGTAGCTGTAATTTCCTCTTGTGGAAATTATAGGAATCCATAGATTTCAAGATCGTAATTCATAAAGGGAAAAATTCATTTCTAAGACTTTCTAAAATCAGATATTTAACGCGCACGCACACACACACACACATATAAAATTAACCCACCCCGCCTCCTCCACAATACCGCTCTGACGATTGTTCAGGTGACTGTTCCAATTTCGACGACTACTCCGACAACTATTCCGATAACCGTTTCATCGATCACGAATCAAACATTTTATAGGTCACAGATTATTTATGAAATGTGACCTGTAAATTTATATTTCTTAGTAAAGGGGTTCAAGCCATACATACAATCTTGAAATATATACAATCTTGAAATATATAAAAGACTCATTTCGAGGTGTCCATACAATTTTCATCGAATATGACTTTTGGCATAATAGAATTAATTTCGATTTGTATATATTCAAAGCCGAAAATAAATTTTCTATTTTGACTTCTAGGTCTTTGATTAAGCCAGAGNGCATCCCACCTACAACCAACGCACTGCAGCCATGACCACCACTATCATCACCAACCCTCACCGCCACAGCCGCCATGACCACCTACACCATCAACAAAAATCAACCCTAAACCCTACAACCAACGCACCGCAGCCATGACCACCACTGTCATCACCAACCCTTACCGCCGCCATGACCACCTACACCATCAACAAAAATCAACTCAAAACCTCCCCAACACCACGAAAATATAGAAACCACCATCACCACTCCAACAACAAAAATCAAAACCTACACCTCACATTAAACCTGGCCAAAACCAACACCTCACATTAAACCTGGGTCACAACTCAGTTGAGCTAATCAACAACAAATCATACGAATTGAACCTGGCCCAAAGATGCTCGCACGAAGAACAACCTGTTGAGCCATTTTCTGAATCTGATGCTGGTTTTACTGCTAATTTGATCGACATTAATTGAATTGAGGGCCAAAAGGGTATGGGTAACATGTCAATTGTGGGAAATATTGAGCAATTAATTTTGGCGTGTAAATGTCACCACCATCACCACGCAACGCCACTGTCATTCACCATTAACCACACACTGCCATAAAATAAACACAAATCCCGTAGCACCCCTCTCTATACACGTAGATTTGAATCTGACCGCGATCGGAGTTGTAGCATCTCCAGATCGGAGTTTCTTGCAGTATCTGCCACGCCATGGCCACAGACATCATCTCGATTTGTGATGCCACTGCGCCGAAGAGTCTCTTCCAGAGGGGCGTCGCTGACATGGGAGAAGAAATTGGGCAAGGCGGCGGGTTTGGTCGACGGGTAGAGAGAAAGATGAAATGTGAGAATATATATATATAGAGAGAGAGAGAGAGAGAGAGAGAATGGGAATAAAAATAGAAATGAATTAGGGTTTAATTTAAATTATTTAAATATGAATTATTAATTATTAATTAAAGCTTGATTTATGTATAATTAAACTTGATTCATCATTTATGAATATTAATTAAAACCTGATTTTTGTATAATTAAACTTGATTCATGATTTATGAAAATGGAAATTTAAAACCCATTGTAGCTGTAATTTCCTCTTGTGGAAATTATAGGAATCCATAGATTTCAAGATCGTAATTCATAAAGGGAAAAATTCATTTCTAAGACTTTCTAAAATCAGATATTTAACGCGCACGCACACACACACACACATATAAAATTAACCCACCCCGCCTCCTCCACACTACCGCTCTGACGATTGTTCAGGTGACTGTTCCAATTTCGACGACTACTCCGACAACTATTCCGATAACCGTTTCATCGATCACGAATCAAACATTTTATAGGTCACAGATTATTTATGAAATGTGACCTGTAAATTTATATTTCTTAGTAAAGGGGTTCAAGCCATACATACAATCTTGAAATATATAAAAGACTCATTTCGAGGTGTCCATACAATTTTCATCGAATATGACTTTTGGCATAATAGAATTAATTTCGATTTGTATATATTCAAAGCCGAAAATAAATTTTCTATTTTGACTTCTAGGTCTTTGATTAAGCCAGAAAGACCTAAATTAGTCTTCTTCGATTTGGCTAAAAATCAAATTTTAGTTAAAAAAAAAATCAGTAAATCTTTAAAAAATAATAAAAAAATGGAACCAAATATGAGCTAATTTCATTCCTTATTAACGTGTACGAAACTAGAGACGAGTAGGAATCATATATAATCCACAATTAAAATTCAGATTTTAATTTAAATCAAAGTCAACGATTAATTTTAACTACATATTTTATCGATCTTACAACTTTTCAACCACGTATTTCATCAGCTTTTTCAACCAACTTTTAAAAAATGGTGTTTGAAAATATGTGACTGATAGATAAGCGTGACTTATACTTTTTTTATCTGTGACCAATAAAATAATCCGTGACCTATAAAATTTTTGATTCCTGATCGATGAATAATCTGTAACTTATAAAATTTTGCTTCGTGATTTTCGAATCGACCTTAAAATGAGTTGTGACCAATAAATTTTTTGATTCATGACCGGTTAATAATCTGTGATCTATAAATTTTTGCTTCGTAACCGATTTGCAATGAATGAATTGTTAAGGTCACAGTTCATTGATCACGGGTTTGAATTCATTAGTCAATCATTTTTTATAGGTCACAATCATTATAAACGGGTCACAAATCAATATTAACATGTCACGTGTTGTTTTGTAGAGTCACGATTCAAATTTACAGGTCACATTTCATATTAGTAGTCACAAGCAACAATCAAGAGGTCAAAAATCATGTCAATTGTAAAAAAAAAATGGCGAAGTTGTCGCCAGAATATTCGCAGGAGTTGGAATAAGTGTCGGAATGGGAGCATTCGCCGGAACAAATCGTCGTCGAAACGGTCACCGGAATAGTCGTCGGAGCGGTAGAAGTGATGGAGGTAGGGTGGGTTATATATATATATATAGGTGGGTTTATTATGTGTGTGTGCGTGTTAAATATCTGATTTTAGAAATTTGAAAGTTGTTTTCTTATTTTTGAAACATAGTATATAAAAGTCTTATAAATGACTTTTTTCCAATAAGCTTACGTGGCACTGGCCCAAATTCCTTAAGCCCGCCCCTCCACTTTACATTTTTTTTTTATATATATATTTCTATCTCCATGCATACTATTTTGAAATTTTAATGGCTAAATTGAGAGTAATGTCTTAAATATTTACCCTTTCGTTGATGGATAATGCTTGTTGTACATAACTTTTGCACATAAAGGGATACATAACGTGATGTGGCAATATAATAGTTGAAGTGAAGTGTGAGATTTAAATCAAATGTTGAATACGTGCCACATATAATTATGTGTAAGTTTATGTACCCCTAGCAACGTCTTTCCTTGATAGCAAAATCTAGCAGGTGTAAGCTGTCAACAAGTCATTATCACTTCATTACTCATTTGACGCTGTTAACTTGCAAACGGAATTGTTCCAAGGGGTAGCCAAGCTTTCATTTGCACTTCGACCAATCTTTTTAAGTCCTTGTTTGGGCTTCATTATTGTAGATTATAATGAGAAAAATAATAATTTCTTGAAAAATGTATGGTTATAAAAAAGGAATTTTTTTAAAATTTATGTGTAATATTATTTATTAAAAAATGTGTAATTGACAAAAAAATAGAGAAAAATAAATTTTAATTTAACGGTCATAAATTCTTGAATGAATTTGCTCTACCAGGCCTGTAAAAGGCCTGGTAGAGCAAAAGCTCTCACATGAGGTGGGTCCCCCCCCTCCAAAATGTTTAAACACCCACCCCTCACCTCACATTTGCACTGCTGAGCCTTTTACAGGCCTGGCAGTGTAGCACGATTCTAAATTCTTTCTTCAACCATGTCCTTCTCGTACCTGTTGCAACAGTCGTAGAACTTTATTGCTGAAATCTAATATGAATTTTCTAAAAATCTAGGGTTTCATTTTGTTGACCCCAAAAAATGCGTGTCGCTTCCGGTTTATGACTCGTAACACATTTCTCAATAGTTAAGAAATCATATCATATCATAAATTCTTGAAAACATTCATAAATCATAAGATATACGGAAATAAACATGTCAAATTCTTGAAAATATATAACAATGAAGGAGAATTCCATTTGTATAGAAGATTTTTCTTCTGTAAAATTTAATAATGGCGGGGTGGGTGAGTGTATGTTATGACATTTTTTTATTGATGCGGGACCCACCGTGTGTGTATGTAAGTTTTCTATAAAAACATTCAAATTATTCTTGTTGTACATAATGATGTATATAACTCACATAAGATGGGACCACAAGTGTGTGTAAATTTTCTGTTAAAACATTTGGATTATTCTTGTTATACGTAATGGTGTACATAACTCTCACATGGGATGAATACATAAATTATGTACCCCTATCATTGCTCCAAACATTTTCCTTCCACCAAGCATTGCTGAATTATAACTTGACTCGTGGGTACAGAAATAATTGTCAAAAGAAATGTTGCACGCTATTCTGGGTACAGTAAAGGGTGATTTTGACTCATGGCTTCTCTCTGTCTATGATGGCCTTCACTAATTTGTGGGTTAAAGGTGGCGGAAGACGGCGGCGCATTGTCGTCGCCCTCCTCCTCCCTAGAAATCACCATGGCGGCAGATTGGACTAGCTCGAGGCACAGCCTTAGTTTGTTTGGTTCAATATGTGTTAGCCCCGGGACTACTCCTTTGAAAAGAAAATCAGATGTTAGGGTCCGGAGTACATGGAGAGGAGTTATCCCATTGAATGTTCGGACATTCGGGTCGGCATGGTGGTCAAGGAGGACCGCCACCATGTCCGGTGACATCATTTCGGCTGCGATATGAAGTGGTGTTTGGCCTAGTGGTCCTGCAGGATAATTCACATCAGCTGCTCCAAGTTCTAGTAAAGCTTTTACCACTTCTCTACTGCAATTTTCAACAGCATAATGCAAGGCCAATGCTTTATCAAGATTTAGGCCTTCTCCCATAACCATCAGCTTTACAAGTTCGACATCTGATGATTCGAGGGCTCGTCGCATGCGGAGGATTTTCTGGTCCTCGAGATCACTGGCGGAGCTGGTGTGATCATGGCGGTGGGGCATTATGGACCGGCAGACGATGGAGGACTTAAAGCGGAGCTCTTCTATCTTGGCTACGATGTTGATGGGGAGGTGCTTGGCCAGAACTTCTGTTGGAAGGCCAGATTTTGCCACCAAATGGGAACAAGCAGTCCATAATTGGTTCATTTCTTGCTTTTTTGAAGCTATTAAAACTTTCATAACATCATCAATAGAAGCCTTCTCCACCATACTTGCCAATTGTTTCTGCAATTAATCAAATAAGCAAATAGGTAAGTAAAGAATTTTCATAAAATGCATTGAAAAATGGAAGAGGTTGTTCAACAAAACATAAATATTTTGATTTCAAGTTTTCCTCTCACCTACTTATAAAAAAAAATCTATCTAATTTCTTTAACATTTAAGTGACTTGATTCAACACTGTTAAGCGGAGCAGCCACTCTAGATCCACAATAGTGGGAAAAAATTGACAAGAAGCACCAAATAATTAGTTACATGAAAACTTGTCAAGTGATGACACAATCCAGGAAACACAAAATATAGTAAAAAAGAAGATAGAAGACCCTGTTGCACTTCAGTTTTATATAAGCTAAAAATATGCCGGAAGGCTGATTCTGCACAGGAAATGAACAGAAGAAACCCAGTCAAACAATGAAGATTTCATTATATCAAAATCCAATGATAAGATGAAAAATACTGTTAAAATAATAATCAGAAATGTCTCAACCTGTTAATCCAGGTCTTTCTACTCCAAAAAACACCTTAAAATCTGCCGCCTTTTAACCTTGTTCATGTATAGATTAGGTTCAATAATCTCAAGGAGTCTCATTTTGACACCTTCTCCACACACGTGAGTGCTTCCATCCGAGGTTGTGAAATGTGAACTAGACCAATTATGACATGTTCGTGGGATTAATAGACTGTATTAAGAAAGGAAACATTAAAATCTTGTTCATTTTATTATTCGATCTGGTCGAGTATTATGTAACCACACACTTAGTGCTTATACTCATAGGATCAAAACCCAAAATTGAGGAATAAAAAGGCAGAAGAATGGAGATGAAAACAAGAAAACCTGAATTAGCAAAGCAAGCTGTTCCACCCCAAAAGATCTAGCGGCTGCAAGTGTATTAAGAGCAAGATCAACGGCTGAGGTACAATGTGTATGCCAACATCCTCTCTCCCCACAATTAGACCTTGCCTCATGCTTCTGAGGTATAACCGAAACTTGACCACTGTACAAGAACTGAAGCATCAAAAGAAACACTTCATAGCCCACTGAATCCACCGGTATGATCTCCGGAGAGTTGGAACCTCGCGAGGATGATGGCGGCGCGGTGCAAAAGAATTTCCTGAAGAAGAGACTCCTGGCTGCTAGAATGCACCTGTGAGCATGGACTAAACGACCCTCTACACTGAAGGTTACATCACTGAAAGCTCGACCGTCGATTAGGAGATTGAGATAGTCTAGAGAGAGAGATCTAAAGGATTCATCGGATGTCATTGTAGAGAAGACTCTTTTTATGAGCTTGTGTGTAATGGATTTGTAGAAGTGAAGAGAATTGCTAAGTGCAAATCATTCTTTTGTTCAACTCTTTGATGATAAACTCTTATTTCTTGGGAGATTTTTCTTTGCTGTAGGGTTTGATGTTTAGAGAGAGATAGAGAGGACATGACATTCATTAATCATTATTTTACAACATTTAATTTAGACCTTATGCTAAACAACATTAACTTACTCTATGTTTGTCACACCAAATTAAATCGATCAAAAACTTTAATATAAAATTAAAATAGATAGTATTAGAATTAAGATAGATATAATGAAGTGATTTTTCTTTAAAAATGTCATTTACACTTGTTGCGCCTAACCTAATTTAAGCCCATGTTTAATGATCATTATTTTGAAAAAAATGTAATTTTGAATAGTTATTTTTGTAGAATGCGTGGTTAAATATTAAGGAAAAATTTTGAATTTACGTATAAATTATTTCATTATATAAATATATGGTTGAAAATGAGTATGAAAATTAAGGGATTATTCTCTTTGTGTTTCAATTTTGTGTTTTGAGTATCTATTTTGTTGTTTGGTGTTTTCTTTTTAAAATTTTAACTTGTTTTTAAAAATGAGTTTTCGAAAATAAAAAAGAGAATGCATTTATGGTAAGGAAGACCTGCCCTGAATAATTTAATGTCCGAAATAAAATAATTTGTCTCTCTGATTTTTCAACTTAAGTTTTAACTGGATAATACTTAATTTGGCCTTATTAACCTAGACATTGATGGACAAGACAGCACGTATCATGACTGCTTGTTTTTTTATGATTTTGAAGTCATTCGATTTGACATTTGACTTGTCTTTTCAAGCATTCATTTTTCTTCCCCCACTTTCACAATACTGTCTTTGTCCTAACTTTACTTTTCACCATTTTTTCCGCTTTCTTTTCTTCTCACAATTGGACAAAATTGTTTCAACATCATTTTCAAATTTTCAACCACATTTTTTTCTACAAGGAATACTCGTTCCATTACCTAACTTCAAATCATGAGTTAAAATTCAAATACTTTAATGAATTCAATCGATATTTGGATTCAAAATATGGACTACTCGACAAGTAAGCCAATCAAAATATATTTTCATCGGAGAACACTATGTATCAAAGTTGAGTCACTTGTGCCAATAACTTGAGTCCAACTAATACGCTGTATATACCTTTGATAAATTATTGAACTATGGACTATTTATAAAATTTATTTCTTTCAAAATTACAAAAACTAAAAAAAAATGAAATTAGAATTATTGAAAGAGGTCATCAAACAGTAGCTTCCAAAACTACTTTATTTGGAAAATAAAGATATGACATAATGTGGTGTAAAGAAAATTTCAGACTTATAATATACCTTAATTTCTTAAAATATATATTTTATTTATATTTCTTTTTTTAAATGTTTTTAAACTTTTTAACAATGATCCGTCGGTTGAATCGATGACTTCAAGATTCAATCAGTGATCCTCTGATCCGATATTTAACCGCATCATTGATAGATCGATTTGATAGTTATAAAAACAATTAAAAAATAAATAAATAATAAAAACTAAACTCTAATAGGACAAGCCAATAAAATGATCTACAGTGACATTAATGTTGACATATTTTTTGACAGTGTGTGAGGTGACACTCTTTTTGTTATTAATCTCGAACAATGTTGGGCTGCACCCTCCCGACAGTCCCCTCATAATAAGTGGGGTGGGGTGGGGTGGGGTGGGGTGGGGTGGGGTGGGGATTTTTTTTTCTTTTTTAATTCATATGGGTCCCGCATGGATCCCACCACAAATGTGAGAGGATGTCAATCAAAATGTCAAATTTATTCTGACAAAATGGCATTTCTCATTAATTTCAACAATACTTAAAACAATCGACGGACAAAAATTTTCACATCTCACACGATGTCAACATTAATGTGTACTTTGAATAGACAAATATGGATTTTACTCCTTATATAGAATTATTTATTCTGTAAATTTTACATATACTCACACGGGGTGGCCCCATGTGAATAAAATATTATTATAAAAATGGGTTCCACCCCAATGTGTCTTATCTGTTGTTTTTACGGATGAAATTCTTCTGTAACAATAGCATGATTACAAATATCATATTCCTAAGATGAAACCAATTATTACTCTTGACCTTGACCACTCCTACTCAGGCTCATAATCTACGCACCGCCACCCTAGAAAACACCGTCACGACCTAAACGCTCCATCAAACCGACACGTGTCGTCAGTCCCACAATTAACAGTTTTGCTCCATGACGATGTTATACTTTGGATTTAGTGGTGTCATTGTCTATGTTTCTTGATTGAGCGGAAAATTGCATAACTGATCCCCAACTTATTATTTTACTAGTAAGTTCGTCCTCTAACATTTATAAAAAGGTCAATTTTATCCTCAATTTTTGACTACAGTGCACAATCGGTCCATATTGAGAATCAAGGTCTCCATTATAATTTAATAAATTTTTCTCCCTTCTCATTTTAATAATACATTTATCAATAAAATAATATTATATGTAAATTTAAAAAATTTCCTTTTTCTTTAACCACACATTAAAAAAAAAATCAATATTTCAAAATACGTTATCCCCAAAAACTCATTATAATGGATTCCAAAAAAGGGTTTATTTATGATTTTACAAAGATTTAAATTATTTCATGATAGAGAATTAATTGTGTAACTATATTGAAAGGTACATTGATTCTTTTTAAACATTATTCCCCTATTTGTTAGATATTAAAATCAGAATTTTAGTAAGTTTTGATAAAAGCTGATTAAATGTGTGGTTGAAGAGTCGTGGATATCATGAAATGTGTAGTTAAAATTAATTATTGACTTTAACTTAAGATTTTAATTGAATTTTAATCCAAATCAAATAGAGAGTAAACAATTGAGGTAAATTGGGGAATAATGGTGATTTTTTTCCCACTTGGGGTGGGCACTGATTTGCATGTGCCGTTTATTGCATTTTTATTTGTATATTCTAAATCTACCCCTTCATTGAAGGACCAAGAAAAACTGAGGCGACATCTACTCTTGTATCAAAATTTGGCTAGTTCTTTTTGCCCCTATTCTCTCTTACAGATTTGATCCATCCCTTTCTTTCTGAAACGTTCACTGCCTCTTTCTGCGTACACTTTTCTACCATGAATACTTGCATATTTTGGCTATTCTGTCTCTCTCTCTAGTCTTTTCTTGCATAGTAATCAATGCTTATATTGTCATGTTTGTTAACATTTTGGTAAGGACAGTGCTCTATGTACCGAATTTGTTTACCGAATCTTTTACTTACTACTCACAATAGAGATGATGACCATATTGTCGAAATTTTTAAATACAGGCGGGGCCACGCACATTATGTGAGAGGGGGTAATCCATTATGTACAAATGGATCAACCCTTTTGGTAAGTGCTTGATCCTACAGTGGCTGAAAAAATGTAAAATGTAAGTACGGAACGCATAATACCTCAAGATGGCAAAACAACTGCAATTAACAAAAGATTACAATCAGAATGACAAGGAGGAGGATCACACTTACATACTCGTTCTAATAATCATCCATAAGACAAAGGAAGGATGAGAGACTTGTTGAAATCAAAATTATTTTTATGCTTTTAGATTAAGTATTGCAAGAGATCGGTGTCATGAAAATCGAACCGGATTGACTAGTTCAACACAAAACATCGGGAGCACCGGTCCGCGTACTATCTAAAACCCTTGAAAATGAGAACCTTGGAAAAATCCAGTCAAATGGCCTGTCCAACCGTGAACTGGTTGAACTGTTACCGCTTTTACGGGGTTGCCATTCATTTAAAAAAAATCATCTATTGCAATTTAAGATCATGAGGCAGAGAAAGTCACAGACAATCAAACGTGCCTAACAAGCCATCTTGTCTTCACAAATGGGACAAACCACGAGCAGCTCACATTTTATTTCATTTTTTGACTCTCAAACAAGCTGACAAGTGACACGAGAGTCGTGTGAAAAAAAAATCCAGCTTGGCTCGCTCCATGACTCGCCTCTCTTGCCGAATGAGTTTAGCATACAAGGGTATTTATGTCAATTACCAGAGGTTTTAGTTAAATACAGTCAGGAGTTTGTTGTGCTAGTAATTTGATTGTTATGTGTATATAAACAGCTTGTTCACTTCAAAATTAGTAAGAATTGATTTTCATTTCCTCACACATTTCACGTGAGTTTCCAATCTCTTTTCACGTGAGCTTCCATGAATGGAAGCTTCCATTCATGGATGATAATTCAGAAATTCCGCCTTCACTAGATATTCATCAAGGTGAAGATCCGGTAGTTGCTGCTCATCGGATGATGTCAGATCTTTCGAGTCCATACTATATGCACTACAGAGACAACACGGGAATGCAAATTATATCTGTGATTCTATCTGATGAAAACTATTCCACATGGAGCCGTGCTGTAGAGATGGCACTAAATGTGAAAAATAAAGAAGGTTTTATTGATGGATCTATACCTGAACCTCCTGCAAATTCACCTCTTCATGTAGCTTGGCGTAGGTGCGATCACATAGTTTCATCCTGGATCATAAATTCAATTCCTAAGAAATTATACCCTAGTGTTATGCACAAGGAATCAACACGTCAGATCTGACTGGAATTGAAGGACAGATACAGTCAAGGTAATGGACCAAGGATCTATCAACTAAAGAAGATGATTGTTTCAATTTCACAAGGAAATGGTTCGGTGAGTGCTTATTTCAACAAATTGAAAGGTCTATGGGAAGAATTGTTGAATTATAGACCTCAAAATCACAATTCCCATTATGAAGAAGAGTAGATCTTACAGTTCTTGATGGGGTTAGATGACTGTTATTCTAATGTGTGTAGCCAAATTTTGATGATGGATCTGTTACCTTCACTGAACAAGGTTTTCGCACTAGTCTCACGGGATGAGAAGCAGAAAGATATAGCA